CAAGTATTTAAAAGAACCTGCTATATGCCAGGTATTGTTAGGTCTGCATAGTGCAGCTCATTCTAGCCCTGGGATAATTATAGCCAGTATATGTTGATTGTTTAATATTTGTTTAATAGGCACAGAGGATATACATTAATGACAATCAGCTTAGACTGAATGTCTATGTAAGTTCTCTCTGAAGTAGTAACATTTGAGAGGCCCAAATGACAAGATGGAACTAGAAAAGAACAACTAGAAAAGAGCAATCAGGATATAGTGGGTGGGTCATTGCTGTAAAAGGAAGAGTGATAGATAAGATGAGCAAGCTAGACAGGCTAGATTACATTGGATTTTACAGGCTATGGTTAGGAATATGGGTTTTCAAAAGATGCTGTATGAGTGTGAATTGTTGGAGGATAATAGTAGAAGCCAGGAGCCCAGTTAGGAAACAATTGCATTATAATATTTCTAGAGGCCCAATGCATGAAATTTGTGCAAAGGGCTTGGCCCTTGCAGCCCCAGCTTTGTCTGGAAGGTTGTCCGGGTGGTCAACCTTCGATTTGCATATTATGCTTTTATTATTATAGACTAGTAGCCTGGTGCACAAAATTCATGCACATTGAAAGGGAATTAAATAGAGGAATGTAATTTGGACTCACTATCTAATATCAATAATATGTGAGCGTGAGGCAGTCCGCATTTCTGAAATTCAATGACATGAATTTTAGCTATTACTTTGCCAAATAAATGGAATTTACAGCTATCATTTAAAAGAGTATTCAGCCTGACCGGTTTGGCTCAGTGGATAGAGTGTTGGCCTGTGGACTCAAGGGTCCCGGGTTCAATTGCAGTCAAGGGAATGTGCCTTGGTTGCGGGCACATCCCCGGTGGGGAGTGTGCAGGAGGCAGCTGATTGGTTTTTCTCGCTCATCGATGTTTCTGACTCCCTTTTCCTCTCCCTTCCTCTCTGTAAAAAAAATCAATAAAATATATTTAAAAAATAAAATAAAATAAAAGAGCATTCAGCTTCATATTAAAAACTCTAGCTACCAAGTCAGGTCTGTTTTCAACTTTTTGCCAGCATTGTAAATTGTTTGCAATATCTGCCCATTTGGGGTTGCACGTCATGGTTATGAATAAATCGGGCTTGCCATACCTCATTACAATTGCCATAGCATCCTGATATTGCTGCTGCATATTTCTGGGACTGCCCTCAAAAGATGATGGAAATATTATCATCTTACCAATTGGCACATTGTCCTTTTCAGATCTAGATTTGAGATAATCCATCAAACCACTATATTTTTCAACTCTCAACTTAGATTGGTTTGCTTTGATGAAATTTATCTGATTGGCCTCCATTTTTTAATATGAATCCACGAAAAACTGTTGAGTTAATTTTCCTGCATTTAAAATAGGATTAAACGTGTCCCGCACAGAGAGATGAAATCCATAATACTGCATTTGTGTGACTCATGTCTTTACATTTTGTCTATTATTATTGTCTATTACACTGTTGTCTCTGAGTCTTAATGAAATATCTGTTCCCCAGCCTTTTTCACCATGTGGAAAAAGAATAGGATATGTCATTGCATCCAATGTAGGAAACAGGATAATGATTTGTTTCATTTTAGTGGCACTTGGATTATTGGGATCTGGTTTATAATGAATGAGCAAGTCCCTTTCAAAAGGAGGTTCTCCATCTTCATTTCTGAATATGACAGCAACCTCGGTTACACGGGAAGAATTATATCTACCCGGGTCACTGTTACAATCATATTTAATCGCCATTGTTACCTCTGTGGGAGCAATACCTTTTGCTGCTGCTTCAGATTGGGCTTCCTTTTAGCATCTTGTATGATTTTGTTAATTCATTTATTTCTTGCATGAGGTTTTTGATGTTGATCATGAGTCTTTCTGAGCAGCCCTGGTTTTCTGGCATTGCTAATCTTTTACTTGTAGCTTCGGCTGTATCCAAAATATAGAGTTGACCAAACTTCTGAGAAACACCATCAGAAGGATGTAAAGTTCCAGTACGGTGATAAACTTGTCCGTGTATTCTAAAACAGCATGGTCCATATCCTGATGATGATGCAATATTTGCACCCATGGAAGCAAAAGCAAAAGAACTATTTATGGAATGAATATTTTCTATGAAATTTTTACTGTCAGAATCTTTGTTTGTCATTAATCTTTTTAAATATGCCGGGTAATCTGGAAAATATATATCATTTAGACAGACTTTCCCTTTGTCACAACATCGAGTAAACTTCCCATCGGATGGTTTTTCATACGAGAAATTTAGTGATAGGCAAAATTCACATTGAACAGTCATTCCACCACAACTATGTTCGAGGATTGCATCCTCATGTATTCCATTTTTGCTGAGAAGGCAGTTCCTACCGGTATTGGTAGTACTTGTTGATGACTGTTCTCTCGACATATTCTGTCGTCGCCACCACCTTCTTTCAACTTTAAAGGCACGCTGGTCTTTAGACAGTTTCTGTTGATAACGCCGGTGTTTTTGGCATCAGAGCGGCGTTTTTCCAGTAGCTGGTGTTTAGATACACCCTGTCCCAAGTGCCACCTTCTTTCAAGGTCAGACGCACGCTGCTCTGCAGACACTTTCTGTTGATAACCCCGGCATCTTTCGGCTGCTGAGCTATGTTGTATCAACAGTTGTTCTTTAGACATAGTCCCACCTCTCTACTGTCATGGTCTGAGATGCAGATGAATGTGAGTCCTGTCTATCAGGCCACTGAGAGCTGTCTGACCAATGGCTGATTCTGGCTGATTCTGTGGGGGTGGGACTTCCTCCTCCGTGCTGTCAGTTTCCACAGCTGTGATGAGAAAGCTGGGGTGACAGAGGGAGCCGAGCCCTCCAAGCTGCCCTCTCTCTCTAGCTCTGTTCTATGTTCAGCAGTCTCCTGCTCTGCCAAGTCCTCCAAAGCTCCCGCTATCCGCCGGCAAAGTCTCAGGAGTCCGCAGGCGTGGCTAGGCTTCGGTGGCCGCGCCTCCCGACCTGCGAAAGTCCTGGGAGCCTGCGGCCACGGCCACCGTTGCCTCCTGGGGCGCTTGACACCTGTGTTTGCAAATTAAACGCCATCTTTGTCGGGTAATTTGCATAGTCACTCGGATTGGCTGGTGGGCATGGCTTTGTGGGCATGGCTTGTGGGCGTGGCTTGAGTGTAGCAGAGGGACGGTTAATTTGCATGTTTCTCTCTTATTATATAGGATAGGCAAGATAAGCTGATTATTAGAATTGGATGGGCAGCAGTGGACATAAAGAAAAGTGGTTGGATTGGAATATATTTCAGAGGAGGAAGCAACAGCATTTATCAATAAGTTGAATATAAGATGAAAAATCTCTACTTTTTCCCTTGATAAACTAGATTGCACCATCCATTTAGTTTATCAAGGTGTGGTAGGCTTGAGATTCAAATGTTTTGCTCAGGTCAACTTAAATTTGAGGTATTTAGAGTAATCAAAAAGGTCGATGAATATATGAGTTTGGAGTCCATGGGAGAGGTCAGGGTTGGAGTCAAAATACAACTATAAAATAAACACATATATATTTAATATCAGTAACTTCATTTACTAGGGAGAGCAGCCACACACCTCTATTTGTTCATTTATTTGTTAATCAGTGAATGCAGTCATATTCTCTTTCCAGAAATACTTACTGTATACCCATCAACCTATCAGAGTCTAGTACAGTTATGCCACTGGCCTCTAAAGAGAAGAGTGTGTAACTAGAGAATGTGGATCATGGGAAGAAAATATTATTACTTTTAAAAAATATAGTGGATCATGGAAAGGAAATATTATAACTTTTAAAAAATATTTATATTTTTCTAAGAACAAAAATAAAATATTTTACAAATATTTAATATATAGACTTACACTGGCATGTCATTATTAGAGTGAAAAGCGCAAATTATGCAATGTGGAGAATAATTTAGGAATTTCTTTATTTTCTTTCCTTTCAATATATTGTGATATATTGCAGTTTATGTGTTCTGGGCTAAGCAGATTTCCTAATGACATTATTATTTCATTGAACTAACCCCCACTAAAATGAAAGTAGCTAAAAAAGATTTTGGGAAAGAAAACATAAGTTGGAGATCATAATGCAAGCATAAGAAAAAATGACAAGAATAGAGATGACATGTCTACTTCTAGCATGAGCTCTAAAGAAGTCATCTTATTAAGTAGTGGAGATGACATTTTGAAATCAGAGATTTGGAAACATTTCATTACGTGATTTTGATGCAAAAATAATGTATGTATTCTACCCAAGGCTGGAACTACCATGAGACAAGTGAGGCATTCACCTTGGGTGTACAATTTAAGGGAGCCCCCAAAACGCAGTAATCAAGATGACCATTTTAAAAAGTCAAAATTAACCCTGGCTGATTTGGCTCAGTGGATAGAGCGATGGCCTGCGGACTCAAGGGTCCCAGGTTTGATTCCGGTCAGGGGCACGTACCTTGGTTATGGGCACATCCCCAGTAGGGGGCATGCAGGAGGCAGCTGATCGATGTTTCTAACTCTATCTCTCTCCCTTCTTCTCTGTAAAAAAATCAATAAAATATACTTAAAAAAATAAAAAAATAAAAAGTCAAAATTAATGCAAAAATCTGTGATGAACAAAATATCAAAATTTTATACATAAGATTAGTACCTTAAAAAAAAGCATACATGTACTTGAAGACAGAATTTTCTAGCCTATTTAAAAATCCTCCGAGCAATGATTCCAGAGAGTTTTGAACCCATTTGTTAAGAATATAAAAATGCAACATCTTCTGGCTGACAACAGGGAAAATAGAGAGTTACTAGTTTAATGTCTACAAAAACTTTCCATGATTGGTGGATGGAAGTGATAAAAATGGAAATGCATTAGGAAGAGCAGCTAAGGATAACGATGTACTTCTTCCATTAGGATCTACTTATCTTTGTGAGTTATCTTTTTCAGCTTATGACGGCCATTAAAATGAAGAACAGAAATAACCTGAAGATTGAATCAGACATTTTAATAACTTTCACAAGATATTAAAGATTTTTACAAACATTGAACCCTAGTCAATCATATTGCTTTCACTAGATATTTTTACTGAGAGTAACAAGGGTTTTTCTACCATTCATCTAAAAATAACTCTTACAGTTACTTTAAATGTTTGTTTCATCTTTATCTTATCCTTTTTAAATTAAAAAATCATACCCAACAGGACGTGCATGTGACTTACATGAGTATATAGGCTTTTTTTTTTTTTTTTTTTTCCTATTTGGTAATAGAGTGCAATCAAAAACAGTTTGGAGGAGCACGGGTAGAGGTAGGAAATGCTGTGGGTGTTGGGAACGAGGCAGGCTCATATCATCTCCGCGTGCTGTCCAGTCATTGTATCCACGGGGGTCTTCATGACGGACACCCCACTCAGTCTTCATAAAGGAAGGTTTTTTTTTAATTAAATCTATTGGGGTGACATTGGTTAGTAAAAGGAAAGTTTTGAGGAATGAGTAGGATTTGGAAAAATAACTATGGCACCATGCTTACTGCTAGAGGAGAGGCAAGTCCTCTAAAAACATTGTAAAAGCGGATCACAGGCTCGAACAGCAGCCCTACTCCCTGCAGCCATTTCAGCCCCAGGCGTGAACCTGTTGCAGAAGGAAGTAGCTTCAAAGGCTGCAGGGAATGCGGCTGCAATGGAGGGGTTGGGGGGGGGGGGGGGGTTGTGTGTGCGGGGAGGGGGTGACACCACCGCTGAGGCCAGGGCTGTGGCCTCCCCTAGCGGGAGCCGGCCCCTTGTCCTTCCAGCCTGGCCGTCGGGAGGGTGGGGAGAGGGGAGAGAAAACAGCCCTTTCTGCTTCGGGCCGTGTTGAGGGCGGGGTGTCGGGAGGTAACCCGGGGTGCTTTCTCTTCCCGGCCGAGGCCAGGGCACGTGCCGAGCGGGTGACGTTCAGGCGCTTTCCTCTCCCGCCAGGAGAGCAGCATCGGCGGTGCGATCGTGGAAGGAAGGGGCGTTGGGCGCCAGGGTCTCCCCGGTGGGCAGGGAGGACGGGGAGCCGGGGAGCGCTCGGAGGACTCGGAGGAGGCCTGGTCCCTCCTCCGCCGGCAGAGGGAGCGCCGAGGTGGACGGCCCGGAACCCCGCTCAGGAAAAGCGTCTGCACGGCCGCGCCACCAATTCGGTGCCCCTCGGGGCTGGGGAAGACCTGAAGTCATCAAACACAGGCGACAGCGGCCTCATCACCGCGGGCGCCAGGCGCCGGGCTCGCAGCCCCACGGCCCGAATTCTCGCGAGAGCGGCCGCCGCCATTTTTCCATTGATAGCCGCGGGCTGGGGGAGGGGCCGACAGCTACGGCGACGGCGGCGGCAGCCGAGCGGCGGGTCGGTCTCTGCGCGCTGGTGTCAGGCCCAGGCTGAGGCCTCCGCGGTGGCAGGAGCGCGGGCGGCGGAGAGCATGACTGCCGCCGCCGTTCTCTCCTGAGCCGCCGCACCTCCCCACTCCCCCGGCAGGGCGGAGCGGAGCGGCCGGAGTCTGAGCGATGGTGCCCGGAGAGGAGAACCAACTGGTCCCGAAAGAGGTGAGGGGCCGCCCAGCGCAGGAGGCTACTAGGCCCGAGGCCTGCGGCCGCTGGAGGTAGCGCAGGCCCGGGCGAGGGGTGGGCTGCGGGCGCAGCCGGTGTGCAGGCCCAGCTCGGGTGCGGGCCCGGGTGTGGGGCCTGGAGGAGGTGTGTGTGTGTGTGGGGGGGTGGCGGGGAGGCGGCGGCGGCCGGGGGCTGCCTGGGGGTGGGAGGAGGGCGGCGAGCAGTTGGGAGACCCGCCTGGATCTCGGGGGCCGAGGAAGTAGAGACCTCCCCTCCTCCCCCCGGGGTGTGGGGCTGGACACATAAAGCAGCGAACCGGGAGGAGTCCGGTCCCGCTTTGGGGGGAGAGGGTGGCCTTTGAAGTACTTACGGAACCTGTCGAGCCAAGGCCGGTAATTTCAAAGAAAAAAAAAAAATTCTGGAGCAGTTGTTGACGGGCCCACCGGGGTGGCGGTGCTTCTGGTTTTGACAGTGGCGGCGGGTCACTTTCCGGGCTTGTGAAAGCGACACCCGACCCGAGGCGGGTGGGAGGGCAGCGTGAGCCGAGACTTGCAGGAGCTGCTGTCGCTCGGCGGTGCGGTTGGCGGTCTACGCGGGGCCCGGGAGGCGCGTGGGGCAGTCGGAGACGGGACCTCGCGGGAAGGTGTAGAGGTCGCTTCCACCACCCTCTGCTATGGAGAGCGGCGCCCCTGTTGGCTCCGTTGGGCTGGGTGTGCCCGTTGGGGTGACTTCTTAAATTCTTAAAAGCGGGAGATGTGAGAAGCCTCGAGTTCTTGGCTGCGCTTGAAGCGTAGAAAATGTAATGCACTGGCCAGGGAGTTTCAGCATACGAATAGTATCTCTTGTTGGCTTTATTCATGTTTTCTGCACATACCAACGTGTGTTTTTTAACTGGTTACACGTCAGCCTACGGCTGTGGGTGTTTCTTGCTCATATACTTACGTAGAGGCAGGTGTCTGTTGAAATTAAGTTGCTCCGCAGTAGGGTCTTGGTATTTATGAGTAACCATTAAATTGTGTGTGTGTGTGTGTGTGTGTGTGTGTGTGTGTGTGTGTGTGTGTGTGTTTTGTTGTTGCCTTTTTTAGTTGCTTTGTAGCAATTTGTTGCCACTTGAAGCAGGACCTGGTGATCATTGAAATTATGTGTCTAGGACAGAAATATTTTTTTCCTAATTTTGTGACCATTAGCAAATATAATATAAGTGGAACTCTGCTTTAAGAAAAGCCAACATTAGATTTATTTCCCTAATAATGTGATGTGTAGAACACATGAAAACTGATACTGTAATGCATTTTTTCCCCCTTTTGGATTTTAAAGGTTAAAAATGCCTCTCCTTTAAGACTAACTCTCTTACTAAGGCTTGAAGTTTACCCCAACTTTTTTTCTACTTTTTCTGGACCATATGCCTTTATTTTCTGTTCCCTACATTCATCTTCAGTCTTTTCTTTTATCCTGGCTCATCTCATGATTTCTGGAAGCACTCCTTGCCTTTTTTTAGCTAGCTAACTAGTTCTTCCTTTTTTTGATGGCCATATTCCTTGAATTTTTCCTTCCTTCCTTCCTTCCTTCCTTCCTTCCTTCCTTCCTTCCTTCCTTCCTTCCTTCCTTCCTTCCTTCCTTCATTGCTTCCTTCCTTCTTGCATTTGATACTCAAAAAGAATACATTCCTTGATTTTAGTAAACTGTACTTTTCTGGTCTCTTTTTCTACCTGTTTGTCCTGTCTGCCCACTCATTTAGTCAATGCCTTTCTCTTCTGTGTCCTTAATTATCACTTTTGTCTGGTGTTTATCATCTCCTCTCTGGTCCTTTTTAAGTAGGAGTAGAATCATACAGTGCTAAAGCTGAGAGAGCACAGTGATCGTCCAGTAACTTACACCCCTTCCTTCACTTTACAGATGAGAAAATTAGGGCCAGAGGATTGAGAATGACTTGTTCGGGGTCACATAATGAGTAAATGACAGAAGTAGGGCTAGAACAGACAATCCCTTGATTACACTCTATTTTACAAGTCCGCCAAGTATCAAAGAAGCTCTATAAGAATAGTTTGTAGCTCTCTTAAATACAGTTACTGTGTGAAAATAACAAAATTTAAAAATGTCTTTCTTTTGTTCTAATGGTGAATTAGAGAATTCTTGTTGTTGTTAGTTTTTATAGAGAACTTCTGACCCCTACTAGATTTAGATTTTGGTTAAGTGTGTGCATTCATGCATGTTGAATGAGTAATATATTATTCTGGTCCCTGAAGCTCAAGGACAAATGTACCTAAGGGTTGCTGAAGAAGACAGCTTAGTGTAGTACAGGGCTTGACAAACTGCTTGACACGGGTCAAATCCAGCACACAGTCTGTTTTTGTATGGCCCCTGCGTTAAGAATGATTCTTACATTTTCAAATTGTTGAAACAATCAAAAGAATACTCTGTGACATATGGAAATACATGAAATTCAAATTTCAGTATTAGTAATTCAGGGGTTTTTTTTGGAATGTAGCCATGATACTCCCTCCCAAGGGAGTATACTAGTACTCCCCCCAAGTACTAGTATTTACCATTGTCTATGGCTACAACAGAGTTGAGTAGTTGTTACAGTTGCAGTATGCAGGATAAATTTGAAACTACTTAGCTTGATAGTCAAGGCCTAGTACAGTTTGATTCTGGCCACAACCTGCCCTTTCAGCTTAGCTCTTCTCCCATGAAACAAGTTTTTAATGCAGCCAAACAGGTTTCTAACATGCTTTTCATTTCCCCCTCTGCTATTCTCTCTTTCCTACTTCTCTCTACCTGTTCAGAACTTTCAAACACATTTTTCCCCCCACAAGTACCTCAGATCTTTATTCTAAAAAGCTTTTTCTGAACATTTTAACCTTAGGGTTTCTCCTTCTTAGAAGACCTTTGTATGTGAATAAAATTAATTTGGCAATGAACAAATAATGCTTTGTGATGTCTGTTATGGTCTCAAACTGTAATATACATTTTATATATTATGTATGCATTTCTTGGCAGCAGAGATCTTTATATGTTTCTCTCTGTTGTCTTGTACTTATTATAGGTCTAGGACAGTGCCCTTCCTGGAGCAGGTATTCAGTAATGTTCATTGATGTGGTTACAGAGTTGGATGGAAACTTAAAATTCTAATTGATTACCCCTGCTTGGATGTTTTCAACAGAGTCCTTGGCAAGCTGTTTTCCAGCCTTTGCTTGAATACCTTCATGACTAATCTCTCACAATATCTTTGGTTTAGAAGAAATCTCTTAAGTTTTTGAATTGAGAGAAGTCTTGATCTCTATTGTGGCCATCTTTTGATAGTTGCCTCTGGACAAGAGAGAAATCTTAAATCATTTTCCATAGGATGCCTTCTTTTCGTTGATGAAGGTGGAGGATGAGAGCAGGAGGGCAAACCCTCTCTGTTCTACAGTCTGAGCATCTCAGTTCTTGAATTGTTTCTCAGTTGCTCTCTTTTAGACATGTTCAGTGTTTTTAGTATTCCTCCTAAATTATTGTGCACAGAGAAGAGCAGAGAGAGTGTGGTCTGTTCATTGTGGTTAACAATAAAGCCTTTCACCTCATTTTTTCACTCTACTATATATCTTTGAATTATTGTATATTGACACAGGCTTTGAGATCTCTTGCTTTTAATATCTTCACAATTTGTATTTATTGCTTTGTTGTTTTTATTCTGTTTCCTTATATGGATTTATGACATTAATATTTATTTAGTATTCATTGTGCATATTGTTATACTTTGCCATATAGGGAAAATTTAGAAGAAATACAGAAATTTCATTCTTCCCTCAAGTATCTTTTTTTGTTGTTGTTGTTAATCCTCACCCAAGAATATTTTTCCATTGATTTTTAGAGAGAGTGGAAGGGAGGGAGAGAGATAGATATATTGATTGGTTGCTTCCTGCAACCTTGACAGGGGATGGGGGGTGCAACCTTGATGGGCCTATCTTCTACCCACTGATCCAAACCAGCCAGGGTGCTCAAGTATCTTAGAGTATAACCAGAGGCCCAATACACAAAATCCGTGCAAGGGTAGGCCTTCATAGCCCCGGCTGCTGGGGCTCTCACAGCCCCCAGCTCCAGCTGCTGGGGCCCTTGCAGCCCAGGCTGCCTCCTGCCCGCCCCCCCCCCCCCCAACACACACACACACACACACACACACACACACACACACACGCGCGCGCGCGCGCGCTGCCCTCATCCACCACCACACACCCCGGGTTCCACAGAGGACCCCCTGATTGATCGCCCCACAGAGGCTGGCCTGGGCCTCCCTCTTCGGGCGATCGCGGAGCCCCCCTGTCTTCCCCCACCCACATTGATTGCCCCGGCTGGTGGCCTGGGCCGCCCTCTGCTCTGCGGGTCCATCATGAGGTGATGGCCGGGCCCTGACGAATAGCATCGCACCTGCCTTGGCTGGCCTGGCACCAGTGGATGTCATAGTGTGGTCGTCGGGACAGTTGTTCCACTGTTCCATTGTTCAGTTGATTTGCATATTATGCTTTTATTATTATAGATTAGGGATAAGGTGAATATTTACTAATGCTTTTAAAATAATACTTTTCACTGCAACACTTAAAGGGGTGTCTCAGGAGTATATAAATGTAGAGAAGATGGAAAAATGAAAGAAAAAGAATGCAGTTCCATATCTCAGTGTTGCTTTTCTGCTTCTCTTTTCCATGTAATAAACAAAACTTTTGCCTGTAACTAATGATAATAGTATTAATAACCAATATTTACTAAGCATTTATTATATATCAGATACTATTGTATGTGCTTTGTATGTATTAAACCATTTGAGCTTCACAGTGACCTCACAACTATATATGGGCCATTGATATTGAGAGCCCCCCAAAATCATTGAAACAACTTGTTTTTCATCTCTGTTGTGTGGTTTTGTTTTTGTAAAATCATCAGTATCTATTCTGGAGCATGTCAAATAAATGTTATTTTAATATTATTTCTCCTAATTAAATTACTTGAGAAAATGTACTGCAGTAGTCATTCTTGTTTTTGGTGGTTCTTTTAAATTAGTCTTTTTTCTTAAATTTGGGGTATTGATTCTCCTTTATAGTAAGAGGCAAGTATGTGAGGTAATACTAATTAGTGGTTTACATAAATTGAAGTGTTTAATATAAGTCATTAGTATTTCACTTACATTGGAAATACTTATTTAATAAAGTGAACAAAACTGAATGCAGAGTTGTATATGATTCCAATTTGTCATGGAAAAAATAAACTCTTTAGGGTTATATGCATTGAAAAATTTAGAAGGAATACTCTAAAATATTAACAATTGCTGTTTCTGGATATCTGGATTATTGGGGTATCTATAATAATAAAAGGGTAATATGCTAATTAGACCAGACATCCTTCCAGATGTCCTTCCGGACAATCTTCCGGATGAAGCTGGGGCTGCCAGGGAAACCTGGATCCTGGGTGCCTGCCAGCAGCCGGAGGGAAGCCAGTACCAGCAGCTGGGGGAAGGAAGGCCTACTCCTGCACGAATTTCATGCATTGGGCCTCTAGTATTTATATATTTCAATAGTGAGCCATGTACATTACTAAAAGAAAAGAAATTTAGGTAATCTGATTGTAGTTTTTGACATAGTTATTTATATAGAGTTATTTATATAGAAATGTATTGCTTAGTGTGGGTAATATTAATCTCATCTATCTTTTCTCCCTGTACTCACATCGTCCTCCAACATAATTCTTTCTTTGTATTCTCTTATTCATTTAGTGTCATCATCATCTATTTATTTGCTTACACTAGAAGCATTTTTTTGACTCCTCCGTTTTCCTTTTTCATAAATATACTATAGGTGGTTCATCACTTGGAAAATATCTCTTGTACCCTTACCTTTCTATCCATGGCTCTGAGTCTATCTCTTTTCTCACTCACATGTAGCTCTTATAATGGTCTCTCTGCTTCCAAGCTCTTCTCT